TCATCATTTCTATGTAATTCAAAACCTAAACGTATTCTTATTGTTGGTCTTGGTGGTGGAATATGGCCTATGCTTATTCGACATTATTTTCCATTGATTATTATTGATGTAGTCGAAGTTGATCAAACAGTTATTGAATTAGCTCGAGATTTTTTTAAACTTGCAGAACAAACTATGAATAAATATTTTCACGTTTGTTTCATTTTTAAATATTATTCAACTCTTTAAATCTATTTATTTCTTTATAGATCATTGCAGATGATGGGTATCGTTATGTGAATGAAACAGCTTATCGATATGATATGATTTTTATCGATGCATTTTTAGAAGATACAATACCTTCTCAGATCAATAATCGACAATTTTTTCTCAAGTTACATGAAATTTTACATGATGATGGTTGTTTAATAACAAATGTCAATATTCCAACAACTATTGCTTTTAATCGAATTGTTCAAACACTTTCTTCAATATTTGAATCAAATATTTTATTGGCTCATACGAATACGATTGAGAATGCACGTGTGATTATTTCGGGCAATGAACCGTCGTTAAGATTAATTTCTTCAAAAACAGAAACGATTCGACAAGCTGAAAGATTCGAAATAGATGCATGTTTAGAGTTTAGTCTTTCACGTCTAATCTCTGTGGCATATCAAGGTTTAATCAACAATACAACATTGAAAAATTTCTAGTGGATGAATGTAGAATGATCGTATCGATATTAAAATTCTCATTCATACGTATACTCTGTTGTCTTTTATGAATTTTAATCATCTTTAGAAATAAAGTGTGATTTACAAGTTTTAGCCAATTTTAGAAAGACTATTTTCTTGCTGAGGCTGAATGTGATATCCATCTTCATTTCAAAGATATAGATACAAAATTCTACATTAGTATGATCTTCTACGATATATTAACATGAAAAATAAAGCTACCAAAAAGATAATTGAATGACTTTTTTTCCTCGATGTAATATCACACGTAAATATTTGAGTTTATTCCGAAAACACGTAAAAAATTACAAAATTTTCTTTGTTTCTTTTTTTCAGCATTATCAAAACAGACAATTTCTTTCATCATATATATACTTGATTAGGATGCTGATATGCATGAGCGAATCTTGGGTTTTTGAGGATAGGAAAATCTTTCGCTTCGGAATTAACACCAAGATATGGAATAAATGGGTATTGATGTACAATTTCTCACGAATTATTTCGTTTGTAATATTGCGGTCCATAATTTATGTAATTTTCCTTTCTAACAGCAACATTATCATAATGATAACTATAGTTTTCGTAGGTGAGAATGAATAACAATTTTAACATTATTTCTTATCAACCATGACCAACAGGACAAGAAAACAACTTCATCAAACAAACGGTAGTAATATGAGTGTAACGGACGTGAGTGATGAGTTTCTCACCTTTATCCACACCCTCGAATTTTGAAGTAATTAAAATACATAAGGATGTTTTCGTTTGATCTTTGATATTTTATTTCAATAAGTTAAATTTATCTGTATATGAAAAAAAATTTGTTTTATTTATAGCTGCTTCGTAACATGAGAAATACATACATAGATATAGAATATTATTTGACTCGTTTAATGAGTTATATCTTTTATTTGCTTGATACAAGAACAATACAATGGATCCAATCAAGGCAGTATGCACCATCTTGATTGTTACAATATAAGAGAATCGATAATTACATATCACTCACACTTATACTATAAATTTATCTCATATATTGATCTTTTTCCTCTAAAAATCTCTTTTTTTCCTCGTTTTCGCTACCTTTGTCTCAACACTCTGCGGTTGATAGATAAAATTGACTGAAAAACTCACAGATCATATTATTTAGCGTGTTTCTCCATATGAACATCAATAATACAGCAAACAGAGTTTTCAATCATATACTACAGAAAGATATCAGAATAAATATTTTAGCATGCATCAATACCAATGCTGACATTGCAATTGTTTTTTTTTGGTGTACAAGAAAAAAGGGTGGTTTTCATAAACTAATCTTTTCCTCACAATATTATACTAAATTCTCATATTAAGGAAGTATATGTCTGGCAACGTTTCTAGGAGAGAATAGTGCATTAATTTCTGAAAAATCGCTTTCTTCATTATTTCAATGCGCAAAACTCAAGAGTAAAAGCTTTGATTTCGATGTATTCTTATACAGATATTAGTTATATTCTTTGTAATATTTCCGATCACATATCGCCAGCAGTAAATTGAGAATTTATTTTTAATATTTTATTTTCTATCATCTCAACGTAATTTTTACGCTAGTGTAACTACGTTCTCTTTACCTTTTTCAATTACCTTTTATTTACGTGAAAAACTTCATTTCTAACATATTCTTTTTTTTAAACAAGCGTATCTTAATGAAACCCAAAATGTGTTTGATGTTTTCTACAAATTGCGTATTGACATACATCGCTCTCAGTTTTCAGTAGAAAATATCTGTATCTGTAAAATTGCTCGTTTCTTTTCCTATACCATGACACACAAGAAAATACGTATATTTTACGCACGGACAAATGTTACGTGTGTGTCTGTCTGTTTACGTCTTTTGTAATGAACGTACTATCGTACAAATTTTCGCTATCTACGAAAACAACTAAATATATTTGTTTTCCAGTTACGTAATTTGTTGTTCAGTTATGCAACTTGTTTATAGGGTAGTTTTTTTATTTTATCAAGACACATTCGAACTCAACTCTCGATGAACTACTTGCAATATCTATTCGCTAAGAAGTTTTCTTTGTTAATTTTTCTGTTCTTAAACGAGTTTTCTCTGAGAAAGACTTATACTTTTTTCTTTTGGAAAAGTAGGTATGTTAACGTCTAGAGTTCATGTAAGTTGATTCTGATTAAGTAGTGTTAGCACGAACAAAAGTCATTGAAATCCTGAGCTTCGTTAAAGATTGGTATTTGCAGGAAATTCTTGTAATATAGAACAACCGAACGCGGGAATTTCAAACCTATTTCTTATCTTTTTTTGTAGAAATACTTGTATCACAATAGAAATTCATGGCCGATAAACCTACTGCCGATCCTGCTGCTGACACTGATATTGACGCCAGTGACCCCATTACTTCATCCGCCACTGCCACCGACACCGCTGTTGCCATCGCTCCTGCTAATGCTGCCGCTACTGCCACCGACACCACTGCCGCTCCTACCACCGACACTACTGCCGCCGACACCACTGCCGCCCCTACCGCCGACACCACTGCCACCGACACCGCTGCCGTCACCGCTTCCGCTAATGCTGCAGCCACTGCCACCGACTCCGCTGCCGTCATCGCTCCAGCCACTACTGCTGCCGCCGCTCCTGCTACTCCTGTCCCCAAAGCTGAAAAAAAAGAACGGAGTCCGGTCCATGGTTATTACGATCTCCCTGTTCTTTCACTAGAAGAAGCGACAGAAAAACTCATTAAGGTGATTCCTGATATCGCAGCGTATGTAGCCACTGCGAAGAAGGATTGTAATAAAGAATCAACTTTATTAACAGTGGATGAGTCTGCTGCAATATATCTTTACACCATGGCTTCACCTGTCGTCTGGTATCTTAACGACGCTTTTCAAACAGAAAAGCGACGCGTACTAAAACCATGGTTATCTTACTTAAAACTTTTTGTCAATGCTATAGAGAAGTTACCATCAACAACGAAAACTCTTTGGCGTAGTCTTGCTACTGACAATCCTTTAATATTTTATGAAGGTGCTGCTTATACATGGTGGAATATTACTTCATGTTCGCTGAATGTCAAAATGACTCAATATTATTTAAATAGACAAATAGCAACTGTATTTGCCATTAATGCTATTAATGCCAAAGATATCTCCAAATTTTCGGCATATCCAGACGAGCAAGAAGTTGTTCTGATACCCGGTACTCGACTCAGTGTTGTAGGCGGACCCCTTCACTTCAGGGATCACTTCACAATCGTACATATGCAAGAAGAAGAAAACAGCTCGCCCACCCAAACAGTTAACAAGGATGGTGAAAGCACAAAATAGTTATTCGCAAAAATTATCAACACCATTTTGAACATTGTACTTTACGCTAATCAGGAAATGTACTTTTTTTTCTTTCTCGTATGCTGTACAGAGGGTGTTAGTGTGCTTCCCACACTTACATCCACATCGTCTCATCCTATTAGATTGTAGAAATTGAATCGAAAGCAATTTGTAAATTTGAAAATATATTCTTATTAATAAAATCAATACATAAAACCGATTGAAGTTAATGTGAAAATTACGAGTATGATGTGATGTTTGGATGTAACATTTATTGAAGATATGATAACATTATTAAGTATTAAAGTAACTTGAGTATCGAAAGTAATTGATATGAAGCAACTCTTTCATGACATCTTCATTATAATCACCTTCTCAGTTATTTATCTTTATTATCTAGAAACAGTAAGAAAGTGGATTGAACACATAGTGCACACGTGATATATTGTGAGGATGAAAAGATGAAGATGATAATCCTCTCTGTTTATTCGTATAAAAGCACACGCTATATATAGGATGGTGGAACACCCTGTAAGGGAAATGTCCAACATGAGATCAAGGGAACAAGATGAGGAAAAGTCCCATAACATATAGCGTCACATAGATAGATGATAGAAGAGGAGAAATCCATATAACATAACTAAAGGAAAAATCCATGAACGATAGAGAAAAGAACGAGAACATATATAGAAGAAGATGAATCACACGATATGTCATATATGTATATGTAACAACAGAACGAAAGAAACTATACATATATGACGTGAGAAAAAGGTGATGATACCACCTAACAATATAGTTTAAGAGAAACGAGCACGTCAATAGACTACCTGTTCTTTTATATACATGGAAAATAAATTATTAAGCGTCATAGGGAACATCAATCAGGATCACATACATAGCAAGTTAAGATTGGCCATCTTGAGGGTAGGTGTGGATGATATGCTAGTCTTTCACTCACACTAACGTCGATACTCTCACCTACACCGATACCCTTGGATTTTGCTGATTCTTAAAGGAAAGAATCAGCGGTTATTTCTTTTGATTAACTTACTGCACCATTATTGTCTACTAGCAGAGACCCGTGCAAAATGCACGAGAGTTTTCATAAATACGAGTGTTTTTCACAAAAGGCAAGCCAACTATCAACGATGCTCTTACAAACTACACCATCCCGTCTCACCCTATGTCACGCACTCTCAACCATTTCCACTTTCTCTCACCCATTCCCATTTACTTCCACTCGCTCTTACCCTACTCCAATCATTTCCACCCACGTCTACTCTATTTCACCCAATCCACCCACTTCTACCCTGTATCACCCACTTCTACCATGTTTCACCCAGTGCACCCACTTCTACTCCATCTCCACCCAATCCACTCACTCCTATCATATTTCACCCACCCTAACCCTACTTCACCGACTTTCAATGATTCCATCTACGCTCAAGTTATAAGAATGCTAACTGATGATTTTTTAACCTTTGACCTTTAATTCGGTAGCAGACAGGCACACATTCAACATTAGTATATAGATGAATATGACAAAAAATAGTTTTCTTTGTTGTTTGACTGTGATTCAGAATCGTCTGCGTCATGCCTTTTGACGAACGTGACATTAAACGCTTTGGCTATCTCTCATTTGTCACGATCCTTTCATAATATATTTGTGTCTGAGAAATTTTGCGCAGTTACCTTCGCTCATTCCAAATCACATACCGTTTTTCTACTTACTAGCATAAAAATGTTTTATTGTCGTGGCAGTGAAAAGTCTTTGATCGTAATGCTTTATTTCTTGATTTTGCTATCAAGTTTATCTGTTCAAAATGCGTTTTATTTATTAAATACAGAAGACAATGACAATGTGGAGTATTATGATTGTATCTTGTTGGAAAATGTTCCCTATTGTCGACGACCCGATTTTCCTGTTAGTTTAAATCGGGATAATGGTACAGTTCAGTGTTATCACGGCGGTACTCTCAAAAGTTTTGAAACACTACGTCGTGCAAAGAGAACACCAAACTCGATTATCCATAGATCTCGTTCAAGCATAGAAAAAGGTGAAGAATATGCTCTTTACTTGGCTGGTCAAATGAATTCTAGTTCTCTCTGCGAATGTCGAACGCGGAGTTTCGGAAAAAATTGTGAATATCAAATAATTGGTGGCAAAAATCACGTAACATTTGCAGATAGTCGCACATGGCAAAATGATGAAAAGAAGAAAAATCGCTTTCATATGCATGCCTACCAAAAGACTTTATGTTATACAACCCTTACATGTGATTATGGACTGCTCTGTATAGATTGGCGTGATATCTGTGACGGACGACAACAATGCATGAATGGAACTGATGAAGAAGCATGTGATCTTCTTGAATTCAATGAATGTGAAGATGATGAATATCGTTGTTCCAATGGAATGTGCATACCAGAAATATACTTTCTTGATGGTAAGTGATATAAGTATTTCACAGTAGATAAAGAGCTTACACAAGTACATATAGGTGAATATGATTGTATGGATTATTCTGATGAACGACAACCATTTGATCACAGTACATGTGCCTATCAAGCAGACACTTTCAATTGTGACGAACATATATGTTCCATCACTCAATGGTCATGTGGAGAGGGTCAGTGTATTGATGAGAAAAATCGATATCAATGGCAAGAATCTTCTATAACGAAAATAACACAATGCCATTCAATGCGTGAATATATGTTTATGTGCGAACTTAGTCATCATTATAAAATGTGGACATCGATTAATGGTACATGTTATACTTTAACTGTTTTCAATGAAATCAATGAAGGATGGAACAAGCGCAATCTAACAACGGATGAATATAGTCAATATTTAATCAAATGTGCTCTCTCGGATGGTCTAGAACAAGGTTGTGCTTGCAAAGGACAAACTTGTACGCAACACATAGCTAAGAGCAGTTCATCTTCGATCAAGTATCCATCGAGAGGACTGTTGGCTCCTTATCTAACTGCTCATTATAATATCGATCGAAAATGGCCTGGAAATAAGCAACCTGATTTTTATATGCTGAAGGGAAGTATTAGATGCCGTGGATATACTGCACAGATACCTGCTGATCAGCCTATTCGGTTAGAAAACTCCATTGATATGACTTATATGGCACTTGAAAACATGTTTTGCAATATTTCACAAATTGTGATATATGGAGATGAATCTCAATTCCACGCCTTATGCTACACAAATAATTCACGCACGCTGGGAAAAGGATTACCATATGCATTCGTCGATGTATGCAAACAATGTATTTCACAATATCGCATTAATGATGGTATACGGAATTGTCATAATGGTGAAGATGAATTACTACAACAAAAAAACACTTGTACTAAAAGTGTTCGTCGTCACAGATTTCGTTGCTCCTATGAACAGGATACATGTTTGGTTGTGGGAACCCTCGGCGACTCTGTTAAACATTGTAATCAAAGTAATGATGAGTATGTCTCTGGGAGAGGTCGATCTCTATCAACAACAGTGTGTGCGCAGGTTAACGATGATGGATGTCGTTTCTTAGTCGAGTATATCTTGACTTCACAAAATAATTTCAACAGTAGCAGAGAAATGAGTACAAAAATTCAAATGCCCTTTCGTTTTTACTGCAATACTTTTTGGAATTTAGCAGATAAATTTGATGAATCATTGCCAGTATGTCAGAATTGGACATGTGCCCAAGATGAATATCAATGTAACAATGGTCAATGTATACAGAAGAATTACATGTGTGACACTGAATGGGACTGTGCTGATGGTTCTGATGAATTATTTTACATCGAGCATCTCAGTTATCATAATAAATTGATCAATCTGACACAAAATCAAACAGCATGTGCTATGGACAAAAATATCAAAGCACAGCTATTCGATAATGTTTGTAATACTTCTTCAGAATATGCATGCCTCTTGATTAACTTCACACAACAATCAGATGTTCGTTTTACTCGTCCATGTATTAAGATTAGTCAAATAGGCGATAATATAATTGATTGTTTAGGTGGCCTTGATGAAAGAAATACTCTCACTCATTGTTCTGGTATGGGCCCACTTGGCTATGCTTTTCAATGTCGATCAACGCCAAATGTGTGCATCGAAGATCATTACTTATGTAGAAGCACAAGTCGATGTTCTGACTACAACGATGACATGGCGCTATGCGGACATCACGATAAAGAATGCTCTCATTTAACAGATGCACTCTGCATTAATGGCACTTGTCTTAAGCATGCTCGATGTAATGGAAAGATCGAATGTGACTATGGTGAAGATGAATATTGGTGCAGAACAAATACGATATCAACTGACTCAATGCAATATCGTCTGTCGAAACGGTTGGCTCAATTGAAAAGAAACAGATACATTGGATTACCAAAGTATCCAGCTACAAGTAACAGAACGAAAACTACCGTTATTGAACAACAAAAAGCTACTCCCAAACAAAGTGTTATTGTGGATTCAGATCCTTCGATTGCTTCATTCATATGTAATCGTGGAGTTGCTGTTTCTTATCATACAAATACGACTATATGCTTCTGTCCTCCATCATATTACGGAGAATATTGTCAATATCATAGTGATCGTATTACAAACTATGCTTATCTTAATGTTTCACATTCTTCTTATGCACAACCAACAATAGATAAAAATATCACGATCAAAGTACTCGTTCTTCTCATGCATGAAAATCAAATCATTCATAATCGTCAATTTCATATTCGATCTGCCATCAATTTTCATGTTCTGGTCAAGAGAAACCATCATTTAATCTACTCAAGAGAAGCAAAATTACTCGAAGAGAAAATACGTCGTCGATCAAATCGTAGTTTAATCATTGATAATAATTTGTATTATCTTCGATACGAAGCTTATGAATTGAAACCTGATACATCTATACGCATTGCGGGTGTATGGCAATATCCTCTGTTCTTTGACTTTCTGCCTTCATTTCGCTTCGCAAAAATACTTCGTTTTCATGAACAACGATCAAAGTCATCTCTCTCGCCTTGTCAACCAAATCCATGCAACTTCTCCAATGCTAAATGTCATATTTTGGAAAATGATTCTAAAAAGTATGTGTGTCTTTGTGATCCAGGTTATTCGGGTAAACGATGTTCGATTCAAGATCAGTACTGTACAAACAACTTTTGTCATTCCAGTTCATTGTGTAAACCCACTTACATGGGTAGTACAGCAGGTAGTCGTTTACCTTTCTGTCTTTGTCCTCTTAATGTTTACGGAACAAGATGTGGTTTAGTTTATGACCAGTGCTGGAGTAATCCGTGCAAGAATAATGGTACATGCTATCCAAGTACAAGTAATTTTACAAAAATATACTGTGTTTGTAATGAAGATTATTATGGAGATTCTTGTCAATTTCGAAAAGGAGCACTCGATCTTGTAATCCATGCAAGCAATATAAGTGAAGTATCAGTGGTACAATACTTCTACATTGATATTAAGACCCTATACCTTGTTGTTGAATATCAAGATGTATTTAAACAAACTCCTAATCGTCTTCACCATCATTACGCTGATGTATTTGCCCCCGATATTGTACTTCTGAAGAGTTACTCAGAAGAAAACACCAAACATCCAAGAATCTTTCTCATGTCGTTAGCAATGAAGGAGAAGAAAGTGAACTCATCGATCATGTTAACAGACGAAAACTTGTGTATTAATCTTGAAGACACACTGCAAAGTATTCAACGTAAGTTCTCGAAGTTTATATAATTAAGAGGAAATTAGCGAGTACTGTCCATAACTATTTCATTCGTTTTATTTAGCTCATCAATATCACATGATATGTCGCAATAGTTCATCTTCAGTTCGTCCTCTATGTTTCTTTGATGCTCAGTATCTATGCTTTTGCGAAATTGATTACTATCGAGCTGAATGTTTCATTTACGATCATCATCTTGATCAATGCAATCAATGTTTCTCCAATGGACGATGCATTCAAGGTGATTTGAAAAATGACAGTGACTTTCTATGTATATGTCCAAAATGTTATGAAGGTCTTCGATGTCAATATAGTACTGAACAATTTTCCTTTACAACCGAACAACTATTCATGCATCATCTATTATCACCAATGAAGAATATAAGACAGTTAGCATTCTATTCTATCATTATTGTTGCATGCATTTTTTTTATCATTGGTACTTTTAATAATCTATTGACATTTGTCACATTTTATCGATCAAAATTTTTACGAACTGGAGTGGGAAATTATCTATTGATGGGAAGTATAGTCAATCAATTAACTTTATTCTTTTTTTCCATTCGACTAATCCATATCGTGTTAAGTACAACTGGGCACATTGCAATAGGAAACGTTGCATTCAACAAATTTTTTTGTAAATTTTTAGTCTATGCTTTAACAAGTTCCAGTCAGCTATCCTATTGGCTTATGAGCACTGTGGCTGTCGAACGTCTATATATCACGTGGTATATAAAAGGAATATGGTTAAAAAAACCACATACAGCTCGTCGGATCGTATTTACTTTGACAATCATAATATTACTTATCAATTCACCTCAAATTGTCTTTTACACTTCATTAAATAACGAGGACACAACGATAAATAGTGCAACGTGTGTTCTGATTTTTTCTCATCCCTTATGGGTACGTCTTAATCAAGTGAGTAATTATGTCAATAGTCTTTTGCCACTTATTATCAACATACTATGCACTGGTGGCATCATGTTCTTGATTACTCAACAGAAATTGCTTGCTAACAGAAGATCAGGTAAGTCAACAATCCATACACTTCACTAAAATACAGTTAAACTAGAACTCTATATTTAATTTTTTCATTTTAATAATTATCTTTGATTTAGCATTGCCGACGATAATACCTAGCCAACAAACTATATCGGAAACAAATGAAAATGGACGTAAGTAATCTGTCCCTATCGAATATTGTTAAACTAAAAAATTTTTTGTAGCTGTTGGCCAAAATGAATCGAGTAAGGAATATTTTAATGATTATTTTTTGTACTTAGAAAATTTCTATAGTGCCTTCGTCTCCTTCAAATGTTGATCATGCGCAATCAAATAGTAGATGGAACTTTTTCCGAACGGTTTTACATGAAAATGTAGATCTAATCTTTGGTCCAGCAATAACGATCGTACCTCAATTATTTTCCTTGCCTCAATTAATTCTTTCTAGTGTAATGAGTTGTCATAATTTTGGTAGTTCCATCGTGACATATATACTAATGATATCATTCTTTATTTCATTCATTCCTCAATTAATCAGTTTTCGCCTTTATGTCAAATCATCAACTGTTTATTATACTCATTTTTGTTCAACACCAATCGGCAAAAAAATAATTTGGTTAAAAAACTTTTGCCGATGGGGTACGAAAAAACAATCAACTGATTTGGAATTAACTCAACGTGGTCTTTCGAGTGCAATTAAATTGGACAACAGTACCATTACTAAAAATACTCGTCGATAACTTATATAACATTGAATACTTAATAAAAACTTCTATATATTCTCATCTTAATCGAGCTTATCTTCTTTTATTTTTAACTTTCAAATATTAAAATAATACAAAACTTTTAATTAATTTCTATGATTACGACGACGAACTCTATCTCGACCATGAATCAATGTTAAATCTTCATTAAGAATTTCTTCGAGTGAAAAACCACATGAATCAAGTACATGAAAATGATGATTTAATTTTTCAATACGATCTTTACCAAGTTTTTCAAATACTTCACGTAATAAACGTAATGAACGATTACGATGAAACATCATTAAACATTGTGCTTCATCCTCTGGCCATCGCTTATCAAACTCTTCAATTTGCATAAAATACATTGGACATCGTTTCGAATTTTTCTCCCAATCATGATTATGATCAATTATACTATTGTGTCCATTTGGTGCTTTATCACAATCTTCAAGTCGTTTACCACAAAAATAACACCAAACTTGAGAACATGTTGGGCAAGTCATATGTGTACATGAATCATCTTTCATACCAGCTAAACCACATTGAGGGCAAGCTACTTTTTGTCCATTTTCTACAGCTAAATCAAATACAGATTTATCATCAGCTAATTCAGCACAAGTGAAATGTTGAAAAATTTCTTCTTGTTGAGCCTCAGTAAGATAATCACTAGTAATTGAAGGACAAGCTTTTCGACATATTAAACATGATGTTTTATGACAATCTGGACGTTCACAAAAGAATAGATGTGGATCATTTTTACCACGTATAATTGCATAACTACAAAATGGACAATTGTCTAAACGTTCATCAGGACCCACTAATTCTTTTACCCATACAAATACGAGCATATTTTGATAATAAAACTCCATTTGTGCAGGTGTTAATTGCCGTTCAAATACACTTGTATTTAATTCAACATGACATTGAACACAACGTAATGGTATATATGATTGAGGATCTGACAGAAATAAACTAACAATTTGCTGTGAACATTCCGTACAATAATGATGTCCTTGGGGACATTGTATGCCAGGATGATCAGGTTCTAATTGTGTGTCACATGCTCCACATAAAGTTTTCTTTTTCTCTTTTAAATTTGCTGCTTTTGCATGTGTCGACATTACGTGCAGTATTTGTTTTTATGGTGAAGAGTAAATGCGTTGTAAAAAAAAAGAAATATATATATAAAGGTAAAAAGAAGAGAAACATTGTGAAAGGAAAGAAAAAGAATTGCTTTGCTTGGAAAAAGCCGATAAGAAAAGAACATTGTTCGTTTGCATGATTTTATGCATTACTTGGAATATTTTTTACGACGCAAAAAAACGAAATTTATTTTCATCAAGATTCTAGAAAAAGTCAACTGACGTAATTACAATATAAAATAACTTACCTGTACGATTAATTTAAAAAATCAAAAGAATGCGTCATGACTTATTATCTTTTTAATATTGACTGTTATATTGAATGCAGA